TCATTGCAGCCTTCCAGTACTTGACGAAAGCTTATGAACAGGGGGGAGAGCAGATTTTTACATGGTTTGATAGGGGAAGGACAAGGGGAAACAGTTTTAAACTAATAGAGGGGCAATTTAGGTTAGATGTCAGGAGGAAATTCTTTACTCAGAGGGCAATGAGGGCCTGGCATTGCTGCCAGAGCTGTGGTGCCCCATCCTTAGAGGCGCCCAAAGTCAACCTTGGGCCTTGGTCAATCTGATCCAATGGGTAAAACTTCCATGAGCAACACAGTGCTACTTCTCTGCCTCTTTAAAGAGCTCATATTTCACCAACAGATAGTCCGTCAGTTATCTTTCTGTGTGCTGGGAATCACTGCAAGACATCCCAGACCTCTTCACTGCCCAGCAGTTTCACAGCAGCGGTGAAGTCTGACAGATAGCAGTAATGCTGACCAACCACTGAGCCCAGGAGCACTTTCACCTTGGCCACAACTCCCCACACACAGCACTCAGTGTGCGCCCGGGCTCATCTGAGGCTGATCAGTGCTGCTGTGACACCACCTATTTCAAATTGCTCACGGAGTTCAAAGCACTGAGGGGTAAGGATCAGTCTATGCACAGATTTTGCACGGTGTGAGCTCAGCACTGTAAGTACCAGCACCCCCACCCCAGCTGAGTGAACGTGTCACTGCGGCCTGCAGTCAGCCCAGCTCCCTTCAGGAGCAGTCAGCTCACAGGAAGGTACTTGGTTTCACCCTGTTTCTGAAACCAGTGCAATTGTGACCAATGGGGAGTTGTCAGATCTCCGAGATGTAACTGATAGCACTATGATAAGCATCAAAATTAAGCTGTATTCAGGGCAAATCAATTAAAAACGTGACTGGGAAACAGTCCCACTTGTGACTGCCTCAGGCTCCCTTATCTGCCACAGAGGCACAGCAGAGGTACTCCTGCAGGACTCAGAGGAGTACAGACCAACATTAGTGATGCATGATTAGTGAGTATTGAGTGTTACAAAAGCCACAGGAGCGCTCTGGGCAATCTTTTGGTCTGCCCTGACTGCAGGGATTATTGCTAGAAACACAAGTGAGTGTAATGATAAAGTTAGTGGTGGACCCTAATGGCTTTACACATCCCTCCTGCTAGTAAAACAACTCTGCACCCATATTTGCCACCTGTTAGTGGCAGTGGTCTTTTTATTGAAATCTACACATTTGTTATGTATGCATACAACTTTTCAGCATTCACCTGAAATAAAAGCTAGGGAAAGCTGGGGTTTATTGCAACTAGCTAACTCACATCAAGACTAAAGATGGGAGGGAGAGATAAACGAGAGAGGAAGAGGTCTAGCAAACAGTGTCATGGCCTCCTCAGTGCCATGAAATGATCTTTTCATTCAGAAGACTGAACAATGTGTAGAACATCCACAGTCTGTAGCAGAACCAGAAACACATTCTGCTTCTGGTAGTTCTGCCTGCAGAAGAGCTGCGTTACGTAAGCCAGGAGAGCCTTTGCAGCTGAAGTCTTTCTCACCAAAGCAGCATATCAGACCTATTTGCAACTCTAGGCAAGTGCAGTGCCCTGAATGCAAAGCACTGCTTCCTCTCCAGTCGATGAGAGAAAAACCAAGACTAACTCAGCAGCTTGTTTGAAAAATCCTGCATTCGTGTACATTTCCCAGACAGTAACATCTTCTTCCCTCCTGCTGTTAATTTATAGCACATGTAGGGCAGTGAAGTGTTGTGGAAAAACTGGCTTCAAGTCTTCTTTCAAGATACAGTAGAAAAAAGTGAAACCGCCAGTTATGTATTAGTGCTTATCATTAGAGAAGAAGGGTCTCACTGTGTGAGCTACCACTCAAGACATGCACAAAACTAGATTAGCTGTCACACTGCAGCTTTTCCATCTTACTTTCTTTGGCTTGTTAAGTGGCTCTGCCAGTTAATTCCAATGTAGCCAGCAACAAGCAGCACATGAAGGGAACAGTACATGCAAACTGCTTCCATGCGTGCAAGCAAACATCCAACAAAAAATCATTCTTTTAAGGGATTTATTTTAATTCTTTATTAAAATAGGAGATATGCATGCACTCCCTCCTCCAGCTGAAGGATTACCTTTAGCTTCACCACATCCCATATCTTCCATGTGAAATTGTCTCACCAGATCCAATCAGGTGTATTTCATGGCTCAATAGTAGAGAGGAAATGAATTTTCCTGATGAGAGGAAGGCAGAGTGAATAGCTTTATTTTCCTCCCCAACACCATTTGCAATCAGTTTTGTGCTGCAAATGAAGGCAGTGTTTTCCTGGGTCAGAGGTGGCTAATTACTCATAGCACTTGCATTTCCATCACACTTCTGCCGCTCCTCATTCTAACTATTTTGTGTTTGATTTACTTTGCATTGCTCTTAGCTTTGCAAGTCTATCTGCTATTCAAACTTGCACTATTCTTTGTTGCTCTTCCTGGGCTCATGCCAGTAGCTCTGGCTTCCCAAGAGACTGGCAAGAGGACTTTGGCACCAATGTTGTTTTCTCCCCACCTTATGAGATCATATCTGTTTTTTAAAAAAAGAACACAAATGAAATGGGAAAGGAGGAATGTAACATTCAGCTCATTTGTAGCTATCAAAAAACCCCCAACAATCCCAAACCAGAAGATGGTTATTTCGGTATTATTTCACTAAGATGGCCAGTGTCATCCCTGTTCTTTGTAACAGCAGTAGAACCCCAAGAAGTGGAGAAGTGTATCAGTCAAGGCTCAGCGGGGGGTTGAAGCTGACTGTCTTTCAATCCTAGGCCAGCGATTTCCCTGCTAGTGCTCAATGATTCCCTCTGATGAGTGCCCATCTGGCTCCAGCAAACTGCTACACCCGTGTGGTTCAGTAACAGCACAGCAAATATCAGCTCAAGCAAGTCCAGCCTCAAGTGTGCAATGAGTTCAGAGGGCTTTAAAGTATCTTTTTTAGACCTCCCAAATTTATCCAGTACTAAGAATCCCTTGCTGGAAATGGATTCTGTGGCACCACATGAAATTCCGGAAAGACAGTGGTTGGCCAGCTTTTACAACCAGACAGAGTTGCTGCGTCTTCAAGAATTCCAACTGCAATTTTAAAGACAAGTATTTCACTCTTACTGAGTATCAGAAAAACAGTTATGATATCCCATAATGACATAAGATCTGGCTGAATTCGATAACTACTTCTAAAGTTTGATTTGAGAACAGATGTCAGAAAGATGAGAGGGAAACAGGGAATGAGGAAGAGGAGAAAACCCACAGCCACTGAATTATGCTATTTGTAATGGCATTCAGTATTCACTGTCATTACAGGAACGTTATGCTTTATGATCCCAGCAGTTTTCTGGGAGAAATAGGTAAGATTCACAGTGCCTCACAATCCCCTTGCTCAGGGCTTGGCTTCCAGTTGCTGCTGGGAACTACAACACCTCAGTGAAAGCTGGCCATGTTAATCACGTCATATTTGGCACTTAGTGTAATATTGACTGCAGATACCACGACCGAGTTCTTATGCTCTTTAGAGATAAGACTTCAAGAGGACAGTTATATTTACGTGATTTCACAGCTACCACTGTTCACTCATATGAGGAGACACTGCGCAAAGCTTGAGGAGACGCTGAAGAGCCTCAAAGGATTATAGAGGATTACAGACCATTTAACATATGAAACTGTAGCGGTTTAACCCAGGGGGGAGCTAAGCACCACACAGCCATTCATGCATTCCCCCACAGTGTAATCAGGGAGAAAGCTGAAAGGGGTGAAAGTGTGAGAACTCATGGGTTGAGATGAGGACAGTTCAAGAAAGTGATGCACGATGCAGTTGCTCACTGCCAGCCAAACGATGCCCCAGCCAACTCCCCCCAGGTTTTGTTGTTCTCCATCATGTCACATGTTTCTGTGGTCAGTTTGGGTCAGCTGCTCTGCTTCTGTTCCCTTCCAGCCTCCCATTCACCTCCAGCTCACTCGCTGCCAGAGCAGCACAAGAAGCTGAAAAGTCCTTGAACAGTTACCCTGCGCTGCTCAGTAAGAACTAAAGCATCACTGTTATCAATGCTGTTTTCATACAGAATCCAGAACGCAGCACCATACCAGCTACTACAAAGAAAACTAGTTCTGTCCCTGCCAAAGCCAGAATGCACATATAGATTGGCCACAGCCCCCCGCTCTTGAACACGACACTGACTTTGACAGTCTGCTTCACTCGGCCACTTCAGACAACTGAAAACTCGTTGTAGCCTATCTATATCTTGCAGATTCTACAGACTAATCTCAACCCGCTGAGGAATCCTGGGCGTCCTCTCCTAATTTTCACAAGACATTCTGCCTGAAATTCTATTGTCTTGGTTAACAGTCATGCCTGGGACAGCCCTACAGCTCCTGGAGCTCTCCAGCTCCACAGAATGCTCATGCCTGTGTTTGCAGATTGAGGAAGGGTTGCCATCTGCTGATTCAGCAGCAATTTTTTACTCACAGTCAGCAGTGTCCAAAAAGTCAGCATGCAGGACTTTCTGCCATATGGAGAAATAGTTATTTGGCCTTTTCTCTAGCTGTATCTCATTAGGCAAAAGAGAAAGAAAAAGAGAACTTTATTTTCTTCTTTGCAAATCTTGGCGTGGAGTTCACTTGAAAGGCAGCGTTGATTTATGGTACTTGGGAAACCAAGTCAGAGCAGAAGGAAGCTGTAAGAACCCAGGCAATTAAGGGCAGGGTTCTGTCCACTTTAACATATCTTTAAGTCTGTTACTCTTTGAATGTGACTTCTTTCAGGGGAGAGGGAGAAGTATTACAGAAGGATGGTTATGGTTCTAGCAGGCAGCACAGACCTGAGTGGAGCAAGAACCTCAGCTTTCACGGAGGCTTCAGTGGTGCCTTATCTGCTGTAAAGCTCTTCTGTTACTGCGTATCCTGTAGCATTTAAGGGGTCAGTAACAGCACTCCTGTGCTCTCTGTGTGTTCTGTGAAGTCTGTTCTGCTCGATATGAGAGATTTGTTAAATCTGAGGCTTTGGAGGGATTTTGCTTTTTTTTATTTATAGAAACTATTGTAGCATTACCATAGTACATAAGTTTGTATTTTAGCTTTACAGAGTCAGTATCATGGCTCGCATACATCAGAAAAAAAAATCAGATACAGGTTTAAAGGATACATAGGAACATCAAAGCTGCTCTGCTTCTTTACGATCTTCCTCGATGTAGAAAGATGTCAGGAGGAAAAAAAATCCTCCAAAGACACCAACAAAAACACAGATGATGAAGCTGTACTGCAGGCTGCAGAAACTCCACTGGAATGACTGATCTTTCTTGGCTTGAATAGCATTGGAGACCTAGGGAGTGAATAATGCTGTCATCAATCTGAGACAAACCCATACTTCTCTCGTGATTTAAGCAGACTCTTCGCATTGTGGTCCTTGAAAGGAATAAAGCTGAGCAGGTGGGGACAAAAAGCCTGCTGCTATTTTGGTTTGACAAACCCAGTGCCTGGTGCACCTGCACTGCACTGCTGCTCCACTTCCATTTGGTTGAGGTATCTCATGGCTTATTGTACTGTTAGTGCCTCGAGTCACAAGAGTAAGAAATACTGCAACCAATATTTATCATGACTGGTAGCCATTAACTCATTTTACCATTTTCTAGCCCATCTCCAGGTAGCCTGCAAAGGACAGATGTGTGGCAATTACTTCCATCATTTCTTGATGTTATTGGATAACTTTATCTATTCCTAATCAGCAGCAAATGAATAGCAACAGAGTTGGCACCGATACAGCCACGAGAAGCAATAGCCATTAAAAAGGGAAGAGCTAGAAATTGATTTTGGAGACAAGAAGGGAATCTGGTTTGGAGCCAAAAGGCATTTAAGGAGTCATGGAGTGATACTGCGAGGAGTGGAAGAAGATACCAGGCAGCTGCTTTTTTTCACTGGTTTGAAGATGAGTTTGTAAAAGCTATAATGAATTTTATTTTTGCAGACAGCAAAGCCACTTTCAAAAAACCTACAGGGTTCAATATTTATCCCAGGAACCTAAAGACTCTTCTTAGCAAAACAAAAAGATGAATGTTGAATGCAGCCCTTTTTATTCCCACATATACCTTACAATATTACAATATGCTACGTGACTGGAAATGCATTATTATGAGACTCTTCAACCTTTGCTGGGTTTAACATGAATGTGACTGACATTTTAAGGAGATAGGAGCAAGATCAGCTCTAAATGGGCACATAGGGACTAAAGCTAAGAAAAGAGCAAAAATACAAACCCAGTGTGTTTAATTTAAAAAGTAAGGAAATCTCTGGAGTGCAAAGGGAAGAAACCAGAAAAAGACAATTCACTGCCTCTCCTGAGAATTTATAAGCTAAAGCCTCAGTTGAAGTAGGTTAGCAAACAACAGGAAGATCTGAAAACAGAAGATTCAGTGTTGAATCAGCAGCAGATATGGGCAGTGCTGGTGTCCTGGTACACATAAGCCTTCCAGAACACAGTGAGGTACTCTTTGCCAGGGACCCCACGTGGACATACAGCAGTTCTATTCCTGGATTTATCATCGCTGTTCTTTGCAAACTGGCAAGGTTACATGAGGATACACCGTGACAAACTTTTGTCATCTTACTCTTCTCAATTGGCTGCTATTTAAGGCAACCACGTGCCAGGTACTGCACAAGAAGTGTTCTGCACACAGTTACCAGCAGGATGCAGCAGCACATTCAGCAGGAAGTCCTGCCTGGGCCTCAAAGTTAGCAAAGAACAGTAAGTAAGAAATAAATACAAACATTTTCATCTCCCAGGCATAAAGCCATAAGATAGTCAAAGAGTGGAGAATGCACAAGGCATACACCAGCTTTTAAGAACCTCCCATTTTTCTGTATTATTTTTGGTGGTTTCAGTGACACAAGGGTATTGGCTGTCATGTTTGAACGTGGCCAAATCAGTGCTTGGGCAATGGTTTTATAATGCACTCCAGTGAGAAAAAGGATCTCTTCAATTGCCAAAAGAAGTGAGCTGCAGAAGGAGTCCCTCAGAGAGAGAGGACTGTTCTCTGCTGAACAGATTACACAGTTAAGATTCCTACTTTCATCCAGGTGAGGAAAAGGGAGATCTGGCTGGCTGGACCAGCCTGCTTGCACATTTCTGTCTGGCTCTAACTATGTCACTGTTTATTTGTGAAAGAACAGATATTCCTGAAGTGAACTTCTTAAAATGACTTCCATATGAACAAAACTTGCAGAACAACAACGATACAATCTTCCATCAAACTCTCTCTCTCCCCCATGTCCTTTAAGGAATAAAAAGCAAAGTAGATGTGCGGAATTACTGCACACCTTAAATCAAAAATAATGAAGAAAGGAAACAACACTGACATATCATCCACTGGAACTAAAATAAATCATCTACAATGAGAAAGTGGTAGTAGGTTGCTTTGTCCAGAACCACGTAAGATTAAGGTGCTGTAGGAAGGGCAAGGAAAACAGTTCTCAAGTAATATAGGAATTCAAGGTTAAGGGCATTTGAAACCAGAGCTTTGAATGTCGAGTAATATCAAAAGGCAGTCACTGAGGAGACTCTTGTGATTTTCAACAGAACGTTGACCAATCTTAAGGTTTCAGAACTAAGAATTTGAGCTAATCCTTTGAGGTTTCGATGCATAAAACAGTATTTGATTTTTTTCTCAGGTGACACATGGATGTGGCCCTTAGGGACGTGGTTTAGGGGTGGGCTCACAGTGTTAGCTGAATGGTTGGACTTGGTGATCTTAAAGATCTTTTTCAACCTAACTGATCCTATGATTCTGTGGTTAATTCATATGAAACTCCTCACTAGCTTAGCAAAAAGTACTGACATGCAACACCCACGACACTGCCTTTGCAAAAACGTGTGCCTTCAAAATTCATCAGTTTTCAAATTCAAGATTTCGACACACTGCAAGGAAACTGCTCACACCTACAGACACAGCACCAGAAGTTGCATTCCACTTAAAAATGTTTACAGAAATGTTCCTCTGAATTCCAGTATCAGGATTACTCAGGGCCAACAGCTCGACTGATTTCCAAGCTTCAGACCAGGAAGAGCCTCTACTTCTGAGAGTGTCTGCCTTTCAGCCTCCTTAAAGAAAACCCAGATAAGCAGAAAATTCCCTTACCATCCCAATAAGGTAGGGGCTGCCTGCGTCTCCCAGCAAGTGGCTCGCCAAGATCTGCAGGGCAATAGCTGTAGACTGCCGCCGCGGTGTCACGACGTACTGAAATGAAACACGACACACAAGAGCATGGATTTTATCAGAGTGCATCTCATGAATGAAGTAGGTGCCTTTGCTGTGAGGGGTGTCAGCTGAGACCCTGCAAACCACATAAAGGCTCAGGCAGGGGACCCAACCTGCCCCACCAGAAGGCAGCTTGATTACAGACTGCTGCAGTTGGAGAGCAGCTGAGTGCAGCCACCTGGATGACCATAGCTCAGAGTGACTGTGCTTCTGAATGCACAGGGCTTACACAGCAGCTTGAAGAAGATGTGACGTATGTCCAGAACGCTGCAACGGATCACATCGATTATAGCTATTTTTTAAAATGAAATACAGTCATTTTGGTTTAACAGGGGCTTTACGTCTGTGCTACTGAAGAAAACAAACTGTGCTTGAGGAAATACAGTATGATTGTCCATAATTTGTTTGTCTCTCTCTCTGTAATGCACTTATATTATTACATGGTTAAGGGAAAAGCATTCACAGAATGAGACAGAGGCAATTTTAAGCTTTTATGTCTTTGTTTTTTCCGACCACCTGCTCGTACCACAGACAAAATGCTTAATATCCTCTCTTCCTCTACTTGGGCTTTTCTTGCAGATTTATGTGAGCATCATTCAAGGTGTCTCAGACGCTCTCTAATGGGGTGATGTATTTTGCCAAGAGACAAACTCAAGGTATGGAAGCTATTGCAGCTTTATAGCTGCCTTCGAGGAACCACTAACATGTGTGACAACATGCTGGGAATAGAGGAAAGAAAAGATTTTGCTCTCACATTTAACTTAGAGTTTTATTATCATTCTATGTGTGTGAAGAGGCCTCAGAATATTAAAGAAATATTCTCTTATCACTAAGATGTAGCTGTATCACAGCAGCAGCATCAATACCTTATCTTCACAGAGGATGTAAAGAATTGCATTAATGGAAATTAAAACTGGAGGGTAAGGAAGCAACTTTGTCCACAGCAAGATTAGTTATTCTTGTGAGAACAAAAGAAAATATTTCAGTCTCCCTCTCAGACTGAATGAGAGAGATAAGCAAACCATAGTGGAAAACTTTGGGCTTAGGGAGCAGAGTTTGCTCCCTAACAGAACTATGGCAGAACTTCACTGGTGGTTTTCTGCTCTTGGCTCTCTGAGGATATCATATCATCTGCCCAAGACTCGGTTTTCTTTCTTCTGCTGATAATGACAGGCTGTGTTTGAGAAACGCAGACCAAATATCGGTGTGTCCTGAACGTATTCTGGGCGCTGCAGGCACTGGAGGACATGAATGCTCCTTCTCTCCCTGTGTGTCCTGCACACGTCCTTGTGGCAGGCTTAGCACCTGCTATCTGCGGCTTTGGAACCAAGCTCTAATGAGAAAAACGGACAAGATAGCAGCTTCCTGTAGTTACGAGGCTCCCTCATACTCTCACTGTGCTATTATTCAGGTTCTTCTACAGAATGGAAGCATTATGCAAAAGCTCAAAACTCTGTAGGTTTCACCAGGAAAAGAAGAAACTGATCACTGCCACATACATGGACTTTGGGATAATTTGTCCAGAGTAGCCCCCAGGAGCTCCCACCATGTCAGCAGTGCAGGTGATGCTCTGTGCTCTGCTATCTCCCAGGAGATGCCAGTCTGGATGCCTGGATGGATACACAAGGTGCCCACACTGCAATTTGCAAGTCCTGTCTCTGGAGATTTTAGAGAATGTGACAGAGCTGTCAGCTAAGAAAGCAGATGGGAGAGACAGGCTGATAAACGCTTCTGCACCTCCCAGGGCACTTATAAACAAAGACAGGAACATGTTGGTAACCTTCCCAAGTCGAATATTAGCTTCCAGCTCAGGCAGCTCTTTTGCTTTTAGCTGCCAAAAGCCCAAAATGCTGAGTACCAGTACCTCACAGATGGTAAACAAGTATTTCATAGGAGACTCACTCTGACAGCCTCCCAGTCAGCCCAGGCACTGCAAGCAAGGCAGTCGCAGCACTGCTCTGCCTGCACAATCTGACTGCAGCCATACAGCAGGTACTGCTATGTTTACAGCTGAATGAGGGGTACAGAGGTTGCTACATGCAATGCATCTCGATGTATTAGCCACAAAGAAAGAAAGTCTTTATCAGTCAGTCAACATCTTCCTCTGTCTTGTGCTTCACAGGTCACAGGATAAACAAATTCCGAGCTACGTTGTCTGCCTGGTGGTGTCATATAGGGAGGAGGAAAAGTAATTTTCATGGAAAAATATGAACAAGCATTAACAAATCCAGCCACAATATCTGAAATTCTACCAGATCACACAGGAAACAATGCAGAAAAACAAGTTCCTGTTGTTAATTATGGCATCCTTCTGTCAATGTAATAGAAGTAATGCACTGAAACCTGGATTTTTAGCAGGATGAAACAGAAATCCCAAGTATGATTGGCACTGAACGAGCAGCCATCCACACATGCAGCTGAATTCCATCATTTTTCTGACCAAACAATTACTATCATTTAGGATTCCACAGGTCCGTGCAAAGCACACCGCATCCCTGCTCTGAGAAGCACACCATGGCAGAGCTCTACTCTCCACATTCCCACTGGTTGCCAGCCAGCGCAGTATTGCTTGAACCTACAACCAAAATGCTCTAAAATGAAAAACAAATGAAGTGTGTCAGTCACTTGGGAGACGAGAACTTCTTCCTCTCTTTACTTTATGTGGATGGAGGATACGGCAATGAAATGGATTTTGTACAGGCTGTAATAGGATGCAGCATTCCCTAAGCAAGTTCAGAGCGGAGCAACTGAATTGAATGCAAGCACAGCTCCCTGCAGGCTTTGCAGCTTGGGACCAGCACTCCCTTGTGCCTTACTTTCCAATCCTGCATCAACAGCATCCAACTCAGTAACGCCATCTTCCTCTTCAACAGTGGCAGAGGAGAGAACTGAAACACAGAGCTTGAAGCAGACAGCCAATTCACTAATGCTGACTGCAGCTTTATCTTTTTATCAAACTGCCAGGCTGCACAAAACTGACCTGTAGAGAGCAGTACTGTGAAAGAGTAACTGGAGAACAGAACATGGCAGTCAGTATCAGCAGTGCTTTGTTGAATAACCATGAAATGTTGGTTGTTTTATTCATTCATCTCCATCAGAATGGAAAGAAAGATTCTTCGTGCTATGAAGACACTTGCTATTGTGTCATCAAGGCAGGGGCCATTCAGCCAAGCAGAGTTCCACAGTGCTTCATGGCCTGTCCCTCCTGTCACTAGAAAGTTCTCTGTGTTTGGCCTCACAATTTCACATCTTTTACACCAAAAGCTGTAACAAAGATACGTTCATTGCTGCTCATTTGTTTCACTGCTCCTTTAGGCAGCTGTGAGGAATGCCAGTCAAGGTGTGTACTCTGAGCTAATAAGGCCACACTGACAGCAACCCCAGCAGCGAATTTTCAGTTCCTGTGGCAGCAAGAAATGATGGCAACCTTGTGGATAACCATATTCCTCATGAACCATTGGCTGCAAGTTTTCCTTACTGTCCTAAATTCCTGTGACACATTACTGTGCATCACTGCATGCTGTGCTACACTTAATGCATTCACTGTGGTTCTTATTATATGAAAGATTTATTATGACAGTGGAATCGCTTCAGCAATCTGCAAGTAGATTTGAACTCTCTTGAAACGAGACTATTATGAAAAAAGGAGATACTGATGTGACCCTTGCTTAGGCTCTCTTCAAGATTTCCCATCATTAGCCTGAGGGTAGGAAACTCACAGATTTCTGTTGTGTTTTGCCCTTATCTTCATGTCTTCTCTAACAAGTGCTGAGAGCTTTAAACAATTTCTTTCCTTTGTCTTCTATTTGTACCAACTGCATCAGCATTTTGCCACAGCTACACCTCCAGGAACAATCTCTCCCTCAGGCAGCATCCTGCTTGAAGGGTTTGGGTTTCATCACACCCTCTGTGCTGTGACACTGTGATCCCTCAAACAATTCTAGTGAGTAGAAAGTCCAGACTTTGCATCTTCACACATAGAGCTGTTCGAAGCTCTGGAAGTTATCTGCACCGTGTTCTGGAGTGAAGGAACTTGCTGATAGTTCACAAAATAAAAGAAGTGTAACAGATTGACTAACATTACTTTACAGAATATCGACTTTCTCTTTTCAAAGCTTTGGGCACAAACGTAGAACCTCTCCCTAAAAGCAGAAAGCGATCCTCTTTCTGATGGAGACCTTTCCTGGTGGAGATCCAACAGCGCAGAGCTGTACACAAAATCCAGACTGCTGTGGGCCCCAGGAGCAGCAGGACACTGGCATGAGCTGCACCCAAACCAGTGTGCCTCTCTCCTGGGCTTACAGTGAGCTCGGGCTGTCACTAGCACACCTGTCCTGTTAGCAGTACCTCTGCTGGGACACCACGCACCAGGTTACAACACAGACGTCAGCAGGGTCCCAGAAAGGGCATTCTTAGCAAGGTTTTGTTCTTCCTAGGAGGAGGAAGCAGGTCTTCCTGGCAAGCAAGATGCACACATATGAGCTAAATTGTTGTGAAAAGCTGAGAATAAGCAAATAGTTCCACAAGCACTTACCAACAGTATGTCTGTCACAACAGCCCAGTTGACAGATAAAAACAATTCTCCAAATGCAATAAAAATCTGCAGAAAAGAAGAAAGCAGTGACTATACAGACACACAGTGACTACACAGAGACACTGAGATCCCTTAGCATGAAGATGAAGGCAGCCTCATCAACTGTGCCTATCTCAACGAGTTGCTGTACATACCCATCTCTTCATGAATTAAACTGTGTCTGTGCTTACAACCACTACGTTCATCTTAAATATGGAAAAAGGAACCAGGGAAGGTGTGTGAGGTGCTTTGTGTGGCTAATATTTGGCAAAAGAGCCAAAGGAGGAAATACAGAAGCACTCTCATTAATAAATTGTATGGACTGAACTGCTGAGCCCAAGAGGAGGGAGGCAAATCTTGTGAAGCCTCCAGCACAGGGTTTGTAAAGTGTTCAAAGATCTCCTTTTACACAGATTTCCAAATGAAATCAGTTGAATATCTCTGTGCTGGTAAAAGTACTGTTGAAGGCTCCTTCAGAGAGGTAACTTCTGAAGCGAAATGGACTCCTATGGTCAGGCAGCCTCCAAGACTTGGTGCCCTACGGGAATTCCATAACTCATCACAGATGGAAACTCAGTCATCAGGAAAAAGGGGAAGGGCCCTCAGCTGTTCTGATGTCTGTCTTAGAAGAGATTAACCCTCTCAGCCAGACCCAGTCATGGATTTGAGCAGGCTCTACAGTCTAATCAATACCTGAAGAAAGCATTAAAGCTGCACTGCAGGGAGGGAGCTCTTCTAGAAGGTTTACTCTACTTAGTGGCACAGGCCTCCGTGTCAGATGGCACCTGGAAAATAAACTTTGGGCCAAACACAGAATGAAATGTGTTGGTAACGTGGTCAGCAGTACTGCACTTACTGCCAAGCTGCACAGAAATAAGAACCAACAAGGTCAAACCTTGCAGTCCACCTCAAAAAATCAGCCCTTCACCATCTAATCTCCAGCTGATGCTCTCCAGTCTCTCTTGGAAGATCCAAATTCATTCCTTTTTTCCCCTGACCTGGAACATGCTGCTGTTTAACATAGAGACACAGCCTATGAAGTAGTCAAAGCAGTGCTCATAGGGAAATTAGGCACAGATGTAGAAGTGCAGTTTTATTGCTGCACAGTGATAACAACGTGAGTTTACCTGCATTCTGTTGGTCACGCCATAGCTAACAGATATGTGAGGTCAAGGGGAAACGGGGGGGAAACAAAGAACAAAGAGGTGTCTTTAAATCCTAGCTGACACTCAAGATACCACAGGATGAAAATAAAATGGTTAGAAGGTAAGGTTCTGAAGTCTCCCATCTGTTCCTCTATATCCTCAATGGACTATAGACTGCCTGCCTTCACACACCAAGTAACAGATTGCTCAATCCCCTGAACGCTCCATCTCCTGTATATATTTAGTACTTATAGAGTTGTTTCATGTTTGCCTTTTTCTTCATGATTTTTCAAGTCATTTAATCTCTTCAAGCCCCTAAGAACAGGAGCATGTCATGCCTAGTGTGAGAAAAGAGTGTAAAATTTATCTTCAGGAAACAAGTTATATTCTCAACACAGAGTTTGAAGGAATGGGAATTAATGAAAAGCCATCCATGCCAAGTGGATGTGATACTTAGTGGCTGAGATCTCATGCTGCAGAGAGTAATTGGTTCACATGTGACTGTGTTACTGTTTGAGATGCAGCTTTGTTAGCTTTTCTTTCTCTCCTAACGTTTTCTGTGGACTGCAGTTTCAGGGCATTAGGAAAAAAAGAGAAAACAGTAAATCATTCTACAGATTATGCCAACATATTCTGTCTAAAATCAATATCAATTTTGTACTTTCTCATGCAGAATAAATGCAGTATGGTTGAAAAGATGGCATTCTCATCCGTCCAACGGCACAACAGCTGCAATCTATAAATATGAGAAAGTTGTATGCTGTTTTATCTCTAAAGCAGGTGAAGATGTCCTGGAAGTACTGCACTTGGCAAGGGAGAAGTGCTTATGATGGCAGGAAAGCAGTGCTTTATTTAAAGCAAATCCTCTGGTTCTACAACCTCTCAATGTTCCTTGTACTGTCTCAAGTTCTTTTAAATTAATACAGAAAAAGATTCCAATAAATTCATGCAATCAATTTGGTGACATCCCCGTTCTAATCTGCTAAGTGTATCCAGAAACAGTTCTATTGCTGTCACCTTCTCTAGGACAAGTTTTTAAGAGACTGAATGCTTGCAGTTGGTTTTCAAAGGATGTAACCACAGCAAGATCCCAAATTTTAAGGAGATTTTGCTTTGTAGATGGCCATTTGTGAAAGGCCAATATGAAGAGAATTGGAGTGCAATTAACATCAAACACAGGGTTTTAAACAGCCACATGTCCAGACAAAAAGAAGAGTTAGCATGGCTGGACCGTGTGTTGTCTGGATGTTTTGTTCAAAAGCTCCACACCACACAGGAGTATCAGACAAGGGCTGCAGTGTCTCCTCCAAAGGCAATTTGCAGGGCAGGACTGTGTCTCCATTCCAATTGAAGTTCCCTTAGCACCAAATACAGTCCGAAGTTCTCAGATGCAGGGTTCAGACGTGACTTTCCAAAGCAGCTGCTGCATGCAGACAGCGTATTTGTCCTCTTTTGGAAAGAGGAAGAGGTGTAGACAGAGCCTCCTCTGTGGTAACAAAGCCAGATCATTTTCTCTGCCTTCTCAAAGAGCTTTTGGAATCAAGAACTGTGTGTCCAGAAAGAGAGAAACCTCATGACATTGCAGTTCATCTCTCCAACAGAGACCTGCAAGTCCTGCAATATTTATGCGTTAACTCAAGAATTCCCATGCTTTCAAACTTTCATTCCAGCTTCGTCCATAGCAGAGGACACCCATTCATTCCCTTTCATTATTCACTCAAGACAGCGGAAAGCGCCGTACAAAAACTGCTACAACTGCAAGCAGTGCGTGTGGCTTTTTTGCCTCAGTGACCTCTGCACTGAAGTGAAGTGATGGAGACAGGACTGCTAACGGTGGAGCGCCTGGACAGACAGCAACTGGAAAGCCAGTTTCCAGCCAGAGTCCTACACAAATGGAAGATCTGTTTCACGGGATGAGATGCACCAGCTGGCATGCCACTCCAATTCCCACACCAGTGTGACTCATGTCAGATCCTGTTTGGGAAGCAAGCAGAGGCACGGCTGGTGCCAGAGGAGGCAGAGATTAAACAGCCGTGTGGCAAAAATATTAGCAGAAAAAGGTGCTTAGGATTATGTCTGATTTGTTACCCTGCGCAGTGCAGGCATTACGTGTGGGAACACCTGAAGCGAAAACATCAAACACGAGATACAATGGCAGAGTCCCTATTTGTGGGACTAACTGCTCTGCCCATGGGAAGAAACCTAAAGAACCCAGCCATCCACATCCTGGTTTACAATTTCCTCCCAGATAGCAGCACGAAGATAGAATGCTGATCGCAAGGAGAGAAATATTTAAAACAAATGTTGTTTTATCAGTCCCAATAAAAGGTATGGTTTGGAAAAGTGCACTGATTCACTCCAGCAATACAGACTGACAAACCAAACACAGCTCTGACTGGGCACTGCACCTTTAATGGCAAAAGAGAACTGAAGGAGGTGCTCAGGATGGGACGATGTAGCAACCTAAGGGGCCAAAAAAGAAAATGGTGATTTCTTCGGGCATTTCTATCTCTGCTCTTGGATCCAACAGTAATCTTCAGTTTCACATTTTGCTTTTTGCACACACGCACCGACTTGCAAATCCGTTTGTTTTTAGTTTTGGTTTAAAGGTTTTTTCACAGGAACGCATATCCTTGAGGAGTCAAAAGGAAAACCTCTTTGAACGAGTGTGAGAAGCAAAAAAGCTGCAAAAATACCCTATTGCAGAAGTGTTGATTACTGTAATTAACTTTACTCAGATCCTCTTATTTATGATAATCGCAGTAATGGTGGATTCACCACATTGTAGTTAAAATAAAGTTTACATTCAGTCCTCTCTCTCAAGGTGTTTTTTGAACTATTCCTCATCCATACTAAGTTTCTGCTTTTCTCTTTACTGAAAACAGAACTTCAGTGATTTATACGTCATGTTGCACTGCCAAAAGCTTGACTTTGAACATCAGGTTGTGATTTGGGGCACTGAAGGTGACAGTTCAATTATTCTTAGCAAGAACTCTGTGTATTGTACAGTCCCAATTCAGAGAGTAAAAAGAAACAAGAACACTGAATTAGTCACACAGCATTAAAAATTAACACAAGATTGAGACTTCTTCTAACTACATTTTTGCATACGGACGCTCAAGCTTCATGTGGCCAACCATGCAGGCTTCCAATCCTCTTTTTTAGCCCAGGCCAAGTCTGTACATCCTGAGTTCTGATTTCTGACACTCTGCCTGCCTACCCCCTTCAGTGGGCCAAGTAATGCTCACTGGGTCTCACAGGCAGTATTGGAGCTAGCAGACCTCTCTGTCCCAATTAATGAAACCTCTTTCTAGAGGTCTAGAGAACTGCAGGAATCCAACAGTAGCAATCCTTCTCCTCCCCCTCCCACTTCCCTACCTCCCCACGATTCCAGAAGACACTTCCTAGTGATAGACAAACTGGCACTCACAAAAGTGGAAAGGATGTTCTTCTGGGCCACCATGATTGCTATGTAGAGGCACAGAGAAGAAACAAACATGCTTGTGGCACAGATCAGAGGATCAGCTCTGCTGCTGGTTTTCCTTAGTCTTCTTGCAGCTTCTGCCCCAGCAATGACACCCAGGATTCCCGTCCCAATGGTGATGCCTCCAAATATTAGGCTGGTGACAAAACAAAGGAGCAGTTAAGTGCAGGAAAATCGCATTGTAGAAAAAGCTTGGTGTTAGATGTCCCACTGTCAGCTTATACCTTCGACTTCAGAGAGTCTTTAGTTGGCAACTTGAATTTCACTCCACTTGATCTAACCCTCCCACTCTTCCTAAATGGATTTAGTCCCATGCCTAAATTGCAGCTATGCCTGTGCAACAGAGGCTCTATCCTGTGGAGCGGGTATTTCCCTATTTACTGAGCAGGTATTACACAGCCAGCCTCAAGGAGGACTCTTCCCAGCATGACCTGGCTTGGACATGCAGTGATTCAGAGGAGGCACAGTCATCTTGGTTAGCCTGGGAACTGATTGACTCAGTCATCCTTAAAACAGATGGAATAACTCTGTATCACAGTCTGCTGTCCTGGAAAGAGATCCTATCACAAGAATTATATACATCTAAATTAGAGCCCTCAGGCTGAGACGGCTCACCTCTCTGCCTAGGGGATACAGCTACCAGTACTCAGAACTGTGCACAGAGCACTGAATACTTGACCACTGGGATATCCATGTAGAATTTTCTGCATGCAGAATTTCAAATGCCACCCAGCTTTTGCATCTGAAAATGAAAGTTTGTTCCCTGGGAACAGTAAGTTTTTAAGAGTATGCATTCAAATAGATCAGAAGTTTCAGCTTCCAGTGGTCTTCCTGATAAACTTTTCTCTCTGACTCAGTGAGACCCTAATGGCAAAGCAAGCCTCTTGAAACGAGACCAGTGGTGCCACTGATGGTTTAATGCATCAAAGACTCTACAAGAGAAAAAGCACTGCTATACTACATAACAAATTGTAAGCACGTTTGTGATCCTCCTGTAAATTCTTCAGGATTCTGTATAGCTTGTTAGAAACAATAGAGATTGAACAGGCAGAATAAGTAATTTGCAGATTTGTCCAAGAGAAGCAACTCCAAGGTGACATGACTTTATCTAAGCGTTCACAGAATTGTGTTTAGAAAATTCAAGTGCTGTAGACTGCAGCTGAAATAAACCTACAGCTGGAAGAAATCAGAGCACAGTTCAGCTGACAGGGAGAAGGAAAGCAAAGAATCCTAATCCTGGGGAAAGGACCCTATGGGATCCTTTAGGGCTTAAGAATACTCACATACCTCTCTGATCTGTTTGAAGATGTCTGCACAAAGACCAGAATAAAAACTTCCTGTTTATCTATCTTGAAAGGACTGAGACCCGAGTCAGCTGTGTGCTATTTGCACTGGTGTTTCCAGAGAGTCCAAGTGACACAGCTCTATCCTTAACAAAAGCCCTCAGCTTCTGAGCAGCCAGAGGGGACAGCATCCTCACAGCATCCCTGAGCAGTTGGGAACACGCAGCTCCATGTTCCCAGCACTCCCAGCTGCAGGCTGACACAGCTGCTTGTATTACTTTTCTCTCTATCCCCCTGGAATAGCAGCCTCCAACTTGCCTTCTGCTGCCTCTGGCACTAGCTCACACCAAGGTTATTTTTAAAGCATCCTGTAAGATGCAGTACATGAGGTTAAACTATCAGAGCTCCCTTTTACTTACCCAAAAAATCACGTCTGCTCTAGCAACACCACTGTGGAATAGCAATTCAAAGCATAAGATAAGATAAGCTAACACTGTCAGCTTAACTACTAAAAGTGTTCCAAAAAGTTCAGCTTCCTTTCTTCTCTCTACCCTGAGTCAAATTCCTAATTCACTCACTTTCTTCGTGTTATATGCTATTAAATAAAGTGCTGGTGGTGGCAGCCATGGAAAGACAACTGCATTTCCCATCGAGGCACCTGTGGTTGACTTTTCAGTGTAACTCCCACTCATTTAAAACTGGACAGTTTCTCTCTGAAATCCATCATAAAATAGATTGCTCTCCTGTTGTAAATGAACATTGCCCACCCAAAATTTGAATCTCTATTGGTCTTGACTGTCTCTGTAAGCAGAGCTCTGCTGGCAATTATTCACATGAGCAAATTATCTTGATTTGACACAATAATACAATACCAGATCAATTCATCAAGCTTAACTTTGTGCTTTGACTCACAAAGATAGCCAGCACAGCAGTATTTTTTTTTCAAACCAGACTAACAGGAAGGTAGTAGGAGAGTTACTAAAATGCAGGATTTAAACATGCCTAAATGTGTACGTAAGTGGCATGAGGTGCAGAGTCAATAGTTAACTGAAGTTTCCTTTCCAGTGTTGCTTCTTTCCCTGTAAACGTTCCTCTTACTGCTTCTTTCCATTTTACTTAGACAGGGCTGGCAGCATCTTTCCAGTGCACCAAGTGATCACAAACAAACAAATAGGAGCATCTCAGCATACCTGGAAGCAATTCGGTCTAACATTCACACCTCTTTGCCTTCACAAAGCATTCACAGTCACATCTGCCTTTGGAACAGCCTGTGGTTTAGCACTGCACACCGCTCCCCACGAGCGTTTCTCCAGCCTTGCACAGCTCACCTGTTAGATGAGTCACAGGACTTTTCCAGGCACTGCTGCACAATGCCCAGGGCAACCTGAGCCCTGTAAAGGAACATCGGCACCCACAGCCCCAGCGCTCCAGTGACGAAGGCCATGGCAGTGAGACCCAGCGAGGACCAGACAAAGCTCCAACTGGAAGATGAAGGAAATGAGAGCTGTTTGAAAGAGTGGGACACGAGGCTGGACCCACACGCACCATCCGGGGTGTCCAGCGATAGCAAAGCATTCCACTCAGATATCTCAGCAGGACTGCATTCTCACTGAATTCTCGGTTACGACTGCGTTCATGTGAAGACAGGAACTTTGATGGTGCTTAACCAATGAATTTTGACAGCAAAATACTAATTAGAGTGAAGAGTGTGACCTCCTGATTCCATGTTAAGGGCCAGTCATGGTCTCTTGTAGATTTTATTGCTAAGTATTCTAAAACATCTGCTGTGACATTTTTGATAGCAGAACTGCAACAATTGAAAGTGGGCAAGAATTCTGAGACTTAGCAGCTAAATTAAAGGGTTCTGAGTGCAACTTTAAATTCCTCGGGGTGGATTTCAGCTGTTTGTATAACCAGTGTAGAAGAGCAACTTCTGCCTCTTTCCAACAGTTAAGGGGTGGTGGTTCAAGTACTGTAATTCTAGGTGATAAAGTAAAAACTGATCTCAGTCTGCACAAAGAGCTATCAGACAGAAGGAGAAATGTTTGAGTCATGCTGCCTTACTGCCCTATTTTAGTAGAAAATGAACTTTTTACTGATCTCTTTCAAGCTAGAGGTCTATAGAAAATCCCCTTTGAAATCAAAGAGGAGTTGTGAAATCTTGAGATGAAATAGAAGTGCTGTGAGTGAGGAGGTGACTACCAGCAAGAGGATTTCTTAAGATACCAATCTGATTCTACGACTCTTAAAGATAAGAGGCTCTTGCACTCATTGCAGCATGGAACTGCATGGCTTTTGACAGTGCCCTTGTGCTTTGGGAATCTGTTCCAAAAGGAAAAGAAAACAGAATTCTAGTTTTATAACATTGCTGGAGGTTGTAAGGAATTTCTCTGCAGAAAAACAGCCTTGGCATCAGTCTGGCTGTTGACACGTCAGGGAGGTTCAGACTGCTGCTGCTGCCTGCAAACTGTCATCCAACACAAACGGCCTCTAATGACCTCACTGCTCAGGATGCAAATAGGATGCAAATCTAATCATCAATTAGAAAACGCCGGCTCCTGCAGAAGGAAAGCACTCCAAAGAAAGTCCCAGAGCCGCAAGAGGAGCATCTCTCGAAAAGCATTTCATCGGGACCCCAGGGAAGCAGGCTGCCGGTGCAGGCAACGCAGAGCGGGGTCTGGCGCAGGAGCACAGCGGCACCTGCTGTTCTCAGAGCGGATCCACCTCCTCCACCCCGACCTCGGCACATATTCGCCAGCTGCGGGGTAACGGGAGGGGGGAGCCTCCTGCCTAAGCACGCTGATCCGACTTTCCTCGGGCACTAAGAATTACAGATGAAGTTACACCTGCAAAGTGCAGCAACCTACACCTGCATGCAAAGTAAGAGAGAAGGGGAAACTTGGTGGGGAGTAGAACAGGATTTAAACAGGAGCGCTCTGCCAACATTGCTTTGCCTCCTTCCCCCTTGCGATAGGGAAACAAAACAAAAACAATTTTCAATCTCTTTCATACTATTCCTGTAAAAGGGTGGGAGAAAGATTTTGTCAGAGCCGTTTCAGTCACCTTGCCTACAGCACGTGGTACAGAGGAGCTGAGTAGGATTTGCAAGCTGTACTTCTAACACGAGAATGGGCATTTTTCAGTTGTTGCTAGAATCACTTACTTCTTGCCAAGTGATGTGACATCTTGACACCAGGAAGTCTTGGCAGCTCCCTGTGCACCAGGTTTTTCGGCTGCTACTCGTAAAGAGCCATGGATGCTCAGTGCTCTGTGTGCCTCTGTCCTTCTCTGGATCCTGTGAGGGACCAGCAGAATCAGAAGAACCAGAGCTAAACCTCCCATGCAAGGAGTGACCTGTGGACACAAAGCTGGTTAGATCAAGGATATTGTTTTTTCTTGTAGCAAAAACTCCACAGCCACTCAAACTCAGATACAGAATTGCATATCAGAGAATTGTCAGTGTGCTCAGAAATTGGTGTGACTTTGTAGATCATAATCGTAAAGATGAAGAGGGGGTTTGGGTGATTTTAGGCAACTTTGTAGGAAGGACAATGAATGTCCCCTCCCCATCATAGAGACACGTGGTTGCTTCCTCTGATTTTAGAGGAATCCAGCTGAAAACTACATGGAGTACTCTGATCACAAACCCAAGGACCGATGATGCAGCCATAAAAGACTGCTGTACAACCATTCCAAGTGTGTCCTGGGGTGAGAGGAACATCAGCACCTGCCCTGGCTGCAGTTTGGCCTGGCTATAGTTTCCCCTATATCTTCTTCATTCCACAAGAGCCAGGCAGAAACAGTCCACTCGTCCCAGCAGGAACAGGAATCCCCTCCACTGCTCACCTCAGCACCATGAGCACATCAGTCCAAACCTCAGCCAAAATTTCACAGCAAATGGCTCAGGCTCACGAGTGGAAGTGATGAACTCACCCTGAAGGCCCAGTGCCAGTCCCCTGTGACATGTGCCATGCTGGATGCCAGGACATAACCAAGACCACTGTAAGACACAGAAGGGGATCATCAGTAGGTGCTAAGGAACTGGTGCTGGCTGAAACGACGTGTCTCACCAGTTAGGGAGAGCACAGGGAATGTTCTGTCATAGCTTTCAAAACAGATAAAACAGAAGCAACACGCATGGTCTCTGCTGGTTTACTTGCCAATGGGCATTAAGAAGAGAATCTCATCTCCTTAGAGCGGACTTGAGGCAGTGGTAATAACATCCCAGATTTTCACTGGGTTATACGTTCTGTAGGATGACACTGATCCAGATCAAACAGCCCACAGAGTGCTCTGTTATTTGTTCCCCTCTGTGCAAGCTGTGTGAAATAAGCCTTGCAGGAATTCCTTTTGTTTTAGTCTGGATTCTGGGCTCATCCTCAACTGCCTGTTCTAATAAAGAGTCCGAAACGCTTACAAAGCCCTTCTCCACCTCTCCTCCAGACACAGTCAATCTGAATAAAAGAGGGGAGGAAAATCCCAATTCCTCCTTAGGATGTGCTTAATAGAGAGACACAACAAAATTGTCAGGCAAACAAATATTTAAAAACTTCTATTTTCAATTGAATAAATCAATAAGTCACTCATATTTCTTTTAGAATCAATTGAATGTTTTATTTAAAACTTGTTTTCAGAGCTTAGTTTCTCCCGAAACGTTGAGAGAAAAGTGATTTTTCCTTCAAAGTAAATTTAAAAATAAACCCAATCAGTGCTCTTTGGAGATGCTAAGCAAGTGACAGATCCTTGTGCAAGCACCAGTGCAGATACATGTCAGAATCTGTCTAATCAAGGTTGAGGGCACATTAAGTTGCAGGCCTGCTCAGACAGAATTTCAGAAGGCAGATCAGTTGCTAGCAAGAAAACCAACCTTCCCACTGGAATGCAGATATAGAAGACAGACAACATTGTGGTCCTTTTTCCCTCATCAAACCGATCTGCAATGATGGTAGGAGCTACTGTGGAATAACTGGCTGTGCCAATGCCAACCAGCCCTCGTGAAAGAAAGAATATCCAGCAATGCTGCAGGTAAAAGGCATCGTGTGGTCCAAAAAAGGCATGGAAAAAAAAAAAAAGATCATTGTTAAAGAGGTGTATTTTAATGGGTCAGATGTACCAGGGGAGAAATGCAGCTGACTTTTGCATGTATCTGTGGCTCCCGCATCCACACCTGCTTTGCTCACATCCCACTGCTGTGCTTTCTGCCTCCTGCACTGTAGTGATTTCTTAGAGTGACACCACAGAGACCTTCAGGATGTGATCTGTGACTGTTCAGGCTTGCTGGCCGATGCACTGCACCCCAGTGATGCAATCAGCCAGAATTTGGGACAGCATTAATATTCCATCACGTGCAACTACAGTGTGCATGTGCTCCATTGCCTGAGCTGGGCTCCACCGTCCCACAGAGCATTGCAGCACAGAGCCCACTGAGTGCAGGCCTGGGCAGTGAAAGCTCACTTACAGCTTTTCCAAACATGATCAGAGCAGGACTCTATCAAATCCTGCAAGGTGATTTCAGTAGTATCCTCCAAAAAAAACAAACATACTGATTCACTGATGAATGAAGTTCCTAAAGTTACAGCAGACCAGAAGAAAATACCAGCTCCAAGGATGACTTTCCTGTTGTATCTGTCACCAAGGTATCCAAAGAAGGGAGCAGCCAGCATGTAACACAAGATGAAAACTAGAATCCAAAAAGGTACAAAGACAACATTGGTCAAATTGTTCTTATAGTACTTCTCACCTCTTAAACTCAGTTTATTTTTTAGTGTGCTGAGTCTGAAGAAATAAACTCAAATAGAGATTTATTTAAAAAGAAGAACAATACAAAAATAAAACAGGCACAAACTGCTCAAGCTCTGTATTTCTTACTCAGAAATTCTTTCATCTTTCATGGTTCACGTGCTGTGGGATTTTTCAAAGTCTGAGCTCTGGTCTTTCCTGAACCAAAGTCTTTCAGCTTTCAGTTTCACATTTTAAACAGCTTTCCCACCAGTGGGAGCGAGCAATGCCACACATGAGAAGGAACTGGAAAATATCAGGCTGTTTTAGGCACAGACCATATAGGCACAAGGCAAATCTGAATGCAAGTGATTCTATTACCTGTTTGCAGTAGGCCTACAGCCCCGTCACCAAGTTCAAAGTATTTCTGTATATCTAACAGGATCCCTGCAACAGAATTAAACAGTGACAGCAAAGTACACTTCATTCTTTGTGATTCTGCTAAATTGCCAACTCCAATGTTGATTTCAAGATGGTTTGCTAGAAACCACAGCACGTTTATCTTGCCAGCTTCCATGTCAACCATTACTGTGCCACGAACACAGATAAAAGAAATATTCACATTTCTTATCTCTGCAGATTAAATTCGTAATCTTCTACTGGATCGGTCTTACAAGAGTCAGTTCACCAGCAATTTCAATCAGAGCTGCTGTGCTTCGAGTGCTGGTGGCACTTGCAGTCAGTGCAGACCAAGCTCCAGACTCACAGCAGCGCAGGGGGTTCTGTGGGCGTCTCAATGACTCTCATATTTAGAGAGTTTCAAACGGTCTCAGAAACTTAAAGCTGCAACCTCGCTCAGAGCAACAAACGGCTCCCTTAGATTTTGCATTATTGCAGCACAGCCATTATTCGGATCTGTTCTTTCCAGCAGGTGATGATCAACACACAGAAATGCTGAATCATGTGAACTTCAGTTTTGAGCGAGTGGAGAATTCAGTACAAACCGCAGCTATTACAGCACCTGGCTGGAGCCACAATTTGACTGCGACCAACGTTCACACTGAGCACCATTAAAATGTCCCCCTCCAGATCACTGCAGCAACGGGCCAGCCAGAGACCAGCAAATGCCAAAGGAACAGGGAAACAGGAGGGCAGAAGTCTGCATGATCACTGCTGTTAGTGAGTAGAAGTCTCAATTCTAGCAGACAATTACACATAAGTTTACTTTTAACTAAATATCTGTGCCTCTCCTTCACTTTGTCGTTAACTTATAGTTACCAAAACACTGCTATGTGTGGACAGCCAAACTAAGAGAACTGGTGCAAGAACTGTGCAGTGCAGCTGAGTTCCAGCACTGCAGAGCAGATTGCTGTGCTGTGAAGTGCAGTTTGTAAGCAAGGTACCCCCTGGAATAAGAAGCCATAGAGTTAAGTAAAAAGCATTTTGGTGATATACTGTAATTAAAGAAGATGTCTGGTATTTCAAAGGCCTGAATACAAGCTGCATCTCTGTTCCTGAATTTTGCATATCCCTGCAGGTACCTCGCACAGAAGAAACTGAGCTGTTAGCAACTTCTGCTTCACAGACCTGCTTAAAATGTTAAGCTCTTAGCATGCACAGGAGTCAAACAATAGTTCAAAGCCAGGAATGAGCCCAATGGCTGCTGGCACTTCATACTTCCAAGGGCCTGCCCCCCTCCATCCCAGTTCTTGCTCAAAGGGATTTTCATCCCCCTCTGTCCCCCACCCTTCTACAGTGAAATTTAGTTGACAGCTGAATTCATACACTGAATTTCTTTCACTAACAGTCTTGCAGTATCATTCAGCATGCACCCCTTCATGCTTCCTTCCCTCTTAGATGTGTGGTTAACAAGCATTCAATAGAAAAAGCTTTAACTCCTAAATTCATTGACCTCTCCATTTTAAAGATACTGACTTAATGTCTTGAATTTCTTAATGGTCTAAGCAGTAAAAGTAATTACTTTGTGTGCCAACCCTAAATATTAATTCGAAGTTTTTAAACATTTCCAGGCCACTCAGAGGTAAAATACAGTAAGCTCACAAGCCCGTCCTCCAGTTTCCAGGTAAGACCCCTGGAAGTTTGATAGATGCTGAGGAGTGATCCTAAGAAGAATTTACACTAGACACAGTATATGTATGCAGAGAAAAAAATAAAACACATTTCCCAGTGTTGTAACAGAAGCAATGCTCTGCTGCTCATGCCTAGGTCAGTAAACAAACTAATTAATAATAGACTAGCAGTAAACAGACTAATTAATAAATGATCAAAGAATCGTATTTTGGGAAGCTTGTCAATTTGGTAGGTGATCCCCGGGGAAATGAGCCTCCATTCTCTTTGCAGAATTGTATTACACTCTTCATTGCAGAAATCATACAAATCCCACCAGCTCAGGAGGAAGTTAAGCCTTCCTCAAAGAAACTTGCACATAATTTTCATACTTTTAATGTGGGAAATGACATCGCTGCTCTTCAGATGAAGGAATGCCACAGCTCATCTACCAGAGCCAGCGATGCAGCAGGCATACAATAGAGATGTTTTACAGCAAATCTCTGTGAAATCCAGACACAAGCAATTGACCAGTTGTTCTGTGTGCTAATATTTGTTTATAATAGCTTCAAGGTATGAACCTTAAGCATTTAACAGCATTCTATTGATGATGAATAACTAATACATCATTTATTTGTCTTTCAGGAATGTGATTTGAAGTTTCACAGAGAGTACGAGCTGCAGGCTAAACAAGAAAGACTGAAAAGACACGAAGCATACCTTTACAATACAGAATATTTGTAACTGAGGAATAAATAGAGCTGTTGAAGCTGTTGAGAACTTAGATTTCTTTTTCCTCAGAAAGAGGAAGCAGACTCTTACCTGGTACAATAAACCAATCCATGAAATTTATTAGGTTTGCGTAGCACAGCACACCAACTATCAGGTAATCTCTCTTTGCTGGCCTGTTCCTTGACACTGGCACTTGTGGACCTCGTCTCACACGTGCTGCAGTAGCTCCATAATTCTGCTCCTCGTGAGGCACCCTGGGCTGCAAGTCCGTGTTTTCATGTGCACTTGGGTTCTGCATGCTTCCCAGTGCAAAAAGCCACCGCATGCTATGAAGCGTTTCCTCGGTGCAACAAAGCTAGAAGGCAGTTCTGTGCTCAGGCTATGAGGAACTGCAGCCACTACAGTCATTTCCGGCGACAGAGCCCAGCCACTAAAAACTGAAGTGAAATGTTCCTTGTAGCAGGGAGAGCTTAATAAAATAAAACGTTTTAGTCCTGTGCTTTTGTTGAACAAAAATACTGAAGTGCTTTGCCTTGAGGACAGTGAAGAGCCGACTCAGCCAAAAGCACAATAATCCACTGTGCATCCAAGAAATAAAAGCGCACAAGTTGATGATGATCTCAGAGGTACTGCATAGCAAAAAAAGTTATGAACAATCTTTGCCGAGGTCTCAGTGAGTTGCTGGAGCTAAAACCAGCCTTCCTACAGAACAGAGAGAAAGAAAAGAGATAAGTTAGTTCACTAGATCAGATACCTGCCTTGGACTTGAGCCCTCTTTTACCACAGACTTCCTGTGCAACTCTGGACAGATTGCTTTCTCTGCAACTCATGTCTTAATCCCCCACAGACACACATCCCTGTCCTTTAACACAGGCCCACCTCATGCTGTCCCTTCCACCCGACCACTCACTCCTCCCATTACCTCCTACCTGCCCTGCAGTGCCAGATTTGCCCCCAGAACTGAATCTTTTCCAAGATTTCCGAGGTTTCAGGTCAAGTCAGCAATTTAAGCAGACAGCTAACACTGCAGAATACTTCCTGTTGGAAGCAGGGGGAATGAAACCAAATGACAATGAAGGAAAGACAAATGAAAAAAAACCCAAACACCGCAGAACACTACAGCAAGCAGGAAAAGAGAGATGGAAACATCACCATACTCCTCAGAACCCTGCTGGAACTGCGCACATTCCACAGACCTGAATTGAGCAGCCACATTTCTTCCCCTTTCTCCTCCAAAAAGAGGTCTGAAAGGGGAAGAAAGGAGAATGAAGGAAAGCATTCTGGTTTCTCTACTGTGTGTAGGCACCTTTCTTCCCTGCCTTTCTTCCGTCCACTCAGACTTGAAAAAGTGCATTTCGTCAGTTTTTCCAGGATGTATTTTCCTATCACATTCATCTTTTTAGAAAAATAACTCTCCATAATGTCTCTTGAGACATTTTGTGGATTGTCAGCTTCAGAGGGCCTTTTATTGCATCCTGGTAAGAAAGTTTAAAGTGAAAAAATAACCAGTAAGAGTTTAAGAATGAAGCAGTTAGTTGGACCAGTTACAGATCAGTCGATGACTCATGGATGAAGACAAGAAAACATTGCTGGGCTTTGGTGGCTTTTTTTAAAAGACTGTGTCACACTAAACTGAAAAACAAATCAGCATCTAAGGTTTTGGCCATCTTGTGAAGTCTGGCCTCTTGTACCCTGGTGTGCCTAACAGCGCGGTATTTCATTCCATCTTCACTTCATGAAGGTTGAGCTGTTCAGGAGCCAGCAGGCGTGTTCCTGCTCAGCCCATCTTCATCATGAATAAGTCTACGTTGATTTTATTGCAAGACAGAACTTTTTTGGTAACATCTTGGCTCTCAACTTTCCAATGAAGGATTTAGCTATAGACTATGGGTATCTTTCCCCGCTCCTACAGAGAACTTCACTTAAGTTGCATCTGAAAACCATTCAGTGTGCCAGCTTACCGCATCGGGAAGCTCTTGTTGCTCTTTATTCGATATCACTCCTGCAACTCATTCTTTTCTACAGACTGCAGGACCTCCAGTGAGTACTGGCATCATCCATGCATCCCACTGCTTTATTAGGGCAGTGCCGTGCAGAGCTGACCGCATCTGAGAGCACCAGGAAATGGGAGCGGCCGGGAGGCGCCGCCGCGCTGCACCGCAGGGTGGCGCCCAAGTAGCGGGCGCACAGAGCCGGGAGCGGCGGCTGTCCGGCGGCACGGAGCCGGTGCTGCAAACAAAGGGAGCTGGCGGCCGTCCTGCTGCAGCCCTGGCTTCAGGAGTTGTAGGTTCTCCTTCTGCTTTCTTTACCGTTTCTGTTTCCTGTTACTTGAGCCAGGTACCAGCCTTGCCCTGGTAGCAGCTCTGTTCCGCAGGCATCGCTTTAAACCCCATCCTCTGCTCCAGTGTCACTTTGCTTTTAGACTTTTTGATGCTATACTGACTGGCATTTTGTTCTGTCTGCGGCACAGGTTTGTAGGTCAGATTGTCATATAGCAACTCAGCGCTGAGCAGAACACAACTCTGCCCCAGCTGCTGGTAGCAGACATCTCCCTCTCCCTTCCCTCAGCGTTCCAAGCCACGTCTTTCCACCTGCTCAGGTTCGCACTGCTGTGGCCAAAAGGTCCACTGTGACTTAGCCTTACTCTGGCAGCTTTTATAAGCATCACTCTTTGGTAACTGTTCTGCCTCTAACAGTCTATTTCTCATTTTCTCAGACCAAGATGTTCATGTTTGTGCAGACAACACCAAGCAAAAAGATTCTATAAAACTTGGTCACCGTTCACTTCTGACTGCAGGAAACCACTGAACAGTACAAGTTAACTTTTTTTAGGTAGGATTACAGCTCATTTCTTTATAGTCAAACATTTTTTCTTCCTTCTTTGTTCATTTCTGTCAGTCAGGATATAGACTGCCTTGGAACAGAGCACAGTGTTTGCCTGCAGAGCTCCCAGTAGGTGTGCCCGGTGTCAGTGCAATGCAATGAGCACTCCTTATCCCCAGCATCCTCCTCCACCATTTCCATTCTGATGGTTCATTTAGGCACGCGATCTCATAGCTGTGTCATGCAAGAAGTCACCAGCAGCTAAATCCTTCTATGGTAGCAGCAAGTTGGAACCTGTTTATTGCAGGCATTTGGCACTTGTCCATGCACACAGCAATGTATTTTCTTACCCCGTTCTGCATCTGGCTGTGCTAGCAGAAGTTGTTTTGATGGCTGAACCTGACAAATGCAACCGAGAATGCCCAGATGAGCACGTGCGTTTGGTGACGGTTGGAGCTGGTGGCTGACACTCAGCAGGCCAAGCTGTGGCAGTTGTATGCACTTAGGAAGCTGCCTCGTTTCAAACAGAGCATTCAACTGAGTTCATCTTCTTAGCTATTACTCACCGAGGGAGTCCTTGGCCGTGACTCATGTGGAGCATCCTGCTTGTCCAGGCACACACTCGGCAGCTGGGCAGCAGCCCTGGTGGCTCTCAGTGCGCTGTCGCTCCACCTGACTGAGCACCTGCCCTTACTCGGCCTCAGCCCTGCCCTGTGCTGCCGTTCTCCTTAGCAGGAACGGGCCGGTGGTGCCAGCAGGAGGCAGCTGGTGAGGAGATGCGCTCACAGGCAGCGCTCTGTTAACCGGCTCAGACTTGTGGAAGCAGCATGCATTACAGCCGCTGGGGCGTTCCTGCCGGTTTAATTAAAACCAGGTGAGATCCTGCCAACACATGTGCCATGCCTGCAATCTAGATGGGACCGTTCACACACTGGAGATGTGAGAGCTTCCAGTTTCCACTGAAAAGTTTTCAAGAATCTACTACAAAGTGCCCTTGGATTACAGCTCCTCTGAGTGATGCACGTTCACCAAATACTTGTTCCCCTGTTGTTCCCAATATTTGTTCCCTGGCCAGAAGGAAGGAAGCCTTGGTGCTCCGCTGCTGACTGAAGTTTGAGAAACTCTGCAGCTGTGGTTTGTTGAATCTGCTCTATCTCAGGGTATCGTTTGTGGCCAAATTTAGACATGATTAACATTCAGGTAATAACTAACAGGTTAAAATACTGTTATGAAATACTTAGTATATTAGAATTAAATTTAGAAGCTGAATAATAAGGAATCAACCGTACACGACTGGATTGCCAGTGAGTGCTCTCCAAATCGCTGCAGGCAGAGCTAACAGCACGAGCCACTGCCCAGTTGTGCATCACTTGTTTTTGCATGCATCTCACGGGACAACTGTATAACCAGGAATGATCCGTCCAGACTAACAGTAATTATGAGCCCAGAACACTTCACAAGCAGTTTTCTGTTACTAAATAACTTCAAGGAAACCAACCAAACCGCTTGTTTCACTGTACTCCTAATTGAAAAACACCTGCTTAGGAGATTCTCATTCTGTGAGTTTCAACAACTGTCACATTTTTTAATTACATCCTTTGTATCACCTCAGCCTGCGTTTCCACTTGGAATGCTTTCTCTACACAGCACTATACACACATGCAGTAAAGTTCACCTCTTTGCTCATCCCTTATGCATAATCCACGTACAGTTTTCATCTTTTGTCTGGGGAAGGATGCTTGTTCAGCCTCTAATACACCTTTAGAATTAAGAAACAGACTGCAACTGTATGAACACCTCGTGAAGGGCTTATCCAAATGACTCCTTTCACAGGTGACATTCTCCTCAGCTGTATCCGTGTAATCCTGCCACAAATGAAAATAAGAGCAAGAACAAACCCTCTTTGCAAGTGAGCACATTTTGCGTTTGCATTAGACAAGAGAACTAAGATGATCAGGGGGCTGGAGCACCTCCCCTATGAGGACAGGCTGAGGGAGTTGGGCTTGTTCAGCCTGGAGAAGAGAAGGCTGCGGGGTGACCTCATTGCAGCCTATCAATACCTGAAGGGAACCTACACCCACGAGGGGAGTAAACTCTTCAAAAGGGCTGACAACAGCAGGACTAGGGGAAATGGATCCAAGTTGAAGGAGGGAAGATTTAGGTTGGATGTTAGGGGGAAGTTCTTTACAAGGAGAGTGGTTAGGCCCTGGAACGGGCTGCCCAGGGAGGTTGTGGATGCCCCGTCCTTGGACGTGTTCAAGGCCAGGTTGGACGGGGTCCTGGGCAACCTGATCTGAATGTGTGTGTTTGGTGGCCCTGCTAGGCAGGGGGGTTGGAACTACATGATCCTTGGGGTCCCTTCCAACCCGGGTGATTCTGTGATTCTGTGATTCTGTGAAGAGGGGAAGCAGCACATCAGTGGAGCAGAGCTGCTGCTTCTAGCTGAGATTTATTCGAGCACAGAACAGCTTGTGGAGGTCAAGAAAAGTGAAGCATTATAGTTACCATCAAAGACACTGCCAGCTAACCAATTTCACTACGTTTGCCTCTACCACTTCTTTTAACTCAAGCTCAAGTGTAATGTACATCTGATAACTGGATTTATCACATTTCAGGATTGTGGACAATTCTGCCACAGTCATAGCAAGAAAATGGCTGTGAAATCTGCACGGATTTGGAAAGAAGAAAAAACCTATGGGATTAAACATCTGTTTAACCTGTATTTTGACCTTTCTACCACAGTAAAACATTAATTCCTAGAAGAGCTATTAGGTGATCATTGCAGCTTTCACTTTTATTACACCAGAGACCTCTTAATTAAGAAGACAGAATAACAGATAAGGAGCCATTTATTGTGAGTAATGACAAACAGACATTGACAGAACTAAAATAGAGGCCTTTCCCTGTGATGTCTCTCTTTACCTGGCCTTGCTAGCTTCAGACTAAAAAAAAGACCATTCCACAAGCGAACACAGAATCTTAATCACTATGGAGAATGTTAGAATTGGGGTTATTCAAAAACTTGAATAAAGAGATTTAAATTCACAGTGCTCTAATTTAGTGCCTTCATTGCCCAGAAGCATGTCCAGCACAAAGCTAAGTAACGAGCTCTCTTACTGCTTCCAGTAAGGCAAAGCGTGCGCTGTGCTCGCCGTGTTGGTAAGTGCATGAGCTCTCTGTTGCTGTGCATAATTGCTAGAACTGGGAAATTCTGCCAGCAACAGAAGAAAACTTGTCATTTTGAGGCTCTTATTCACACTAAACCCACAATGCTGACATTTATGACAGCTATTCAGCAAATATGTGGAAATACTGAAACTTATAAAGTGATTTAGATAGGAAATAGGGATTAGAATATCCTCATAGTGCCACTGATGGTTACCCACCTTGGGCAGAGGGAAGCTTCCACTTCGACAAGAGAACCAATGCAGAAAGTGGCCACACTCACTTCCTGCGCATCTTTGGTTTGATTCTTATCAGCTATTGGTAATGAAGTTGGCTCGGCCAGTCCAACGCCTGCCTCTAATGAAAGAAAGACAACAAAAATCCATGAAGACGGAGAAAACAAGGTGAAGGACAGTCTATTAGTTATATCAGCAATCCAGGAACTGAGCAGTTGGGAACCGTTCCTTCTTTCATGCAATTTGACCAGGTATTTTTAGCACTGTCTTCCACTAGAAGACCAGACACATTCACATCCTATTTTCTATCCATTCACTCCATTCATAACATCCTTCCATCCACTCTTTCTATTACCAGCAGTTTTGCCTAGTCTGAAGATGTCTTACAAGGTCTTCCATATAAAATTTAAAGTATGTGAATGAGCTGGGGCCTTTCTTTTTATCTTGCCTGGAACCATGCTGGTATTTGCACAGTATATGCATTTTCAATCCAGCATTGTAATACAGTCTGACAGGCTACTAAGAACAGAATTTTCTTCTCATGGTTCTAGTAACTATTTCTGTTTAAAACAAGTTAAGGAGCAGTGAAATAACAAGTATTTCTTTTTTTCTCACAGGTCAGCAACTCAGCAAATCTCTGTTCCATACTCAAAGTAGCACTTCAGACACTTTTCATTAGTAGTCTTTAGTCACGGTCCTTTGTAATGTAACACGGTTGTCTTAAGCTAAAAACAACTCACAGCAGAAAGCAATACCCACACTGGGCTACAGCTCCTATCAATAAGAGCATTGATATCAGCTGCAGCTGGCATGTTTGCTTGAAAAAACAAAAAACCTCTGAGTTTGTACCAGAAAGGTGCTGGAACATGTCATGATTTTGAATAGGAGCACAGCCCAAAGAGCTGCAAGCTTACTGTGCCAGAGCATCCCAGGAAGAAAATAACATTGCCAAGTTCTTCTTGTGCTTTATAAGCGACAGTCAGCCACTGTTTGATGGGCGATATCGTCACCTTGCAAAATGTGAGCAACAGCAAGGAATCCAACCAGTTCAAAGAGCAAAGCAAAACTTCAAGTGCCATGCTTTGATTTAAAGTGAGCATCTGTCCTTTTAAAACCAGTCCCACTCCAAATAAAAGGTGAAGTTAGGGCATACAAACTGACACTGGGATCAGTAAGTACAAAATACACGTGCAGGCCAGGCTGGCTGCAGAATTGTCAGAGGAAGTCAAACGACCCACCTGTGGGTGTCACTGGGTGAGTGATTAGGAGCAGGCCGTTGGGTGCTGGCCCAGCCTTGACAGCAGGAGCTTCATCTGCAGGTGCAGAAAGAAATGGAGTTCATCTTTTGAGGTTCTTGAACAAGTTCATACTGATGCCTGGTTGTTTGGGGCTGAGAACTCAGCAGGGTTTTGAAAAAGGAAGGTAGCCCTTGCTGTTTTCCCTTTTCCAAATTATGAGTAAAATTATGCTGCAGGAAGCTTAAGCTTGTGGGAGGATAGGATCTGCTAGTATTCATATTTTTGAAGTTGGGGAGCTAAAAACAACCTTTCCTCCCTCATTAATATCTCCTTTGCACTGTAACTTCACTGAAATAATCAGTTAAAAACTCACAGCAACTAATAAAAGATATCAAGTAATACTTAACGGCTTGAAAAAAAAAACCAACAAAATTGAAGGTGTGAACACATACCTGATGGTCTCAAATTAATGACTACTCTTGTCCCACAGGAGATGAACACCCTGTCGAGCACGGCGTATCTGCTTTTATTCAGGTAAAGAATTAACAATTATAGATGTAAAATATGATTAACATAAATTATGTAAATTAAGATTTCCTGCTTGCCATTTAAAATCATGTCCGAATTATTTGAATATCTATTCTACACCTACAATAGGAGTATCAAACATGAGAAGTGTGTTTTAAGTTCAGACTTCAAATCTACATAGAAATGCCCATTGTCAAACATCCGCCTTCCTTTTCTTCACACGAGAGCTCTGACGTTTATTTTCTCGCAGTAACAGCCCAGCATTTCAGACAAGGCAAATCGATCTCGACCTGCCTCCTATTTCACATCCTTGTATCGGCTCCAAGGATTGAGAACTGACGCAGCAGTGGATCTCATGACTGCTTTCCATCAGGTTTATTAAACTGACTGGCAATTAGGTCAGGCTTTGCAGGCAGCAAAAGATTTCTCAGACTCAGTTCTTGGGAAATACAAGTTAGAAAAATGCCTTTTTTCAACTGAGTT